ACTATAGCAAATGTCCAGTAAGACCATTTAGTTTAACAGGGTTTGCCTAAAAATTAATGAGAACTCTATTAACCTGTTTAATTTGATATAATTAATTAATTAAATATTTATCGAAAAAAATATTTATAATTTTTTTTGAAAAACTATGTTTTCGGAATTAATTTTTTGAAAAATAATTTTCGAAAAGATTATATTTTCGAAAAATATATGTTTTCAAAAAAATAATATTGAAAATGCTATTGCGAAAAATTAATTTTGAATTTCTTTCAAATTTTCTGATTTTTTCTAAAATAAATTAATTTTTGAAAAACAAAATTTTTGGAAAATGTTTAAAAATATATTTATATTAAAAATTTTGAATTGTTTTTATAAAAAAATACTCTTTACTATTTTTTACAGTTTTTAAAAATTTAATTTTTCAAATAGTTTTTTACAATACAAAGAAATACTTTTAAGAAACTAAAAAACTATATAACACTTTAAATGGGTCTAAATCGGTTATCCTAATAAAAAAACTATATATAATAGAACCTCTATAAATTAATAATGTTGGGATTTTGAAATTTTTAAATTTATTGAGATATTAATTTACAAAAAAAAATTCTTGTTTAGATTTCTTAGTCTAAGATAAATTTGTTTTAAGATAAGAAAAATATTCGATTTTAGTGTATAGACATTCATTATTATTTTTTGAAATTAGACATTTATATTAATTTTATTATATTATTTAGTATATAATATATATTTCATATAATTTAAATGTGGTTTTAGATAAACTATTACTAAATCGCATCAAAAATATATTAAGTGATAGGAAAATATAAAGATAATTCTATTGTGAATATAAAGCAAACACTATAATGATAAATTCTGCTTATATAAAATATGTATACATATAAATTATTAATTTATAATCTTAATAAAACCATATATTTACAATAAATTTCTTAAAATTTTATTATCTTATTATTTTATTGTCAAAGTTTGAAGCAGTACAAGTTTAACTTACGAATTTTATTTATTTAAATATTAATATTAACTTATAGAGGCTCAGTAATCGACCCAACAATGGATCTAGACGGGTTCAGTGTCTAAATGGGGTGGGTTCTAACTGAATTTGTTTAATGAGGTGGGTTTATCCATTTTACATCCCTAGGCAGGACTGGTGAATTATTTTCGTTGAAGCTTTAAGAATCATCAGTGCGTATTCTGAGATTATTGTAGTTTTGCGATCAGAATTGTTTCCGTAAGACTGGATTGTTTCTTCTAAATTGCTACTAAAAGAAACGCTGATCTTGTGTTCAATACATTGCTCCCAGTTCCTAGATATGAAGATTTGGTGGTGTGCTAGCTGAACATAAATAATTAATTGTGGATACTTGGTGAAACTCTGGTTGCATATGGATTCTCTTCTCATTTACACAGCGTGCAGTTCATTACATACTCTGGGGCCGTATTCATCCCAACTCGATATTATGCATGTACCAGGCTACCAGCAAAATGGCAGGCATTCAAATTGGTAACACTCACTGGTTTAGCTGAAACCCATAGGTGTAATTATCGTGGTTAAGTAAAGTTGCACTGGTTTCTTTGTTGATGCATGTTGGACAGAAACAAGATATGAAGGCTGTGTTTGTTGGCATGGCCTGTATGTCTGCAAGGTAAAACACCCAAAATCCCCAAAACTCAAGGCCTTTGATAAGGGATACGTCCTTTAGTCCTTACTCTGTGACTTTGGTGATATGTTTGTCTCTATTTTTTGTGCAGTCTTTACTTTCTGGAGATGATTTTGCCGGAGAGAATGAGATTGTTAATTATATCTCATGTGATATATAAGTTTCCTTTTTTATATTAGACTCATTCAAACAATCCAGGAACAATTATAGCTCTAGTTTATTTTTGTCATTTATTCATACCTAAACTTAGCAATAAAAACTAGAGAATCCTGCCTTGCTAATCAATGGAAGGCCTTGAAACTCTCTCCTTTTCTTCTTTCACATTTAATAATATATATACCTTACCACCTTCACCTTCAAGCCATCCAAAAAGAAAAACACAGAACTAACATCCACAAAATAAACAAAAACGAAATAATGGCAATGAAGAACATCAACAACTTCTTTGTCGCCCTCTTTGTCTCGGTTGTGTTAGTGAGCTCAGCCACAGCAGCTACCATGGAGTCTCCAGCACCAGCACCAGGTGCTTCCTCTGCCACCGTGGCTTTTCCGGTGGTTGGCTCCATCGTTGCTGCGTCATTCTCCGCTTTCTTGGCTCTTCTATTGCAGTAAATATATATATTGAGGGGGGGGCTTCTAAGAGATACCAAAACTCTTTTTTTGTTATGCTAGGTTCTTTAGAATCTATGCAAGATAATTTTGTCAAATAACCCATTTTGATGTATAATCTCATTGTATAAGTTATTACACTAATACTTTTATGAGTATGATAATAATAAAATAATATTCTCCTATATAAGCGCTTATTGATCAAATTTTATGAATCTGATCAATAAGTTCTTTTTTTGCTAACTTTTGGATCAATAAGTTCATTGCTTTGTCAATAGTGTCTTTAATACACAAAATGGTTGCATGAACAAAAAGTGTGGTTAGTGTTTCTGTAACATCCCGGTTTGTGGTATATGGAAAGGCTTAAGAGAATTGATTTCGCTACCTATGTCACCAAAGTGCACTTACCTTTTCGGGAGCACATCCAGAGAGAACTCCAGAGTTAAGCGTGCTTGAGCTGGAGTAGTCAAAGGATGGGTGACCTATCGGGAAGTGGTTTGCGATACCGTGTAAGTGAGGCCAAAGCACGGGGAAAGGTCGAGTGGTGATTGCAGGGTCAGTAAACATGACTCTGGAGCCTTGGAAAATTAACGGACCGACCGTTGGAACGGGGTGGGGCCCACGGGCCGAGAGAGCGGGCGTGGGTGGCCCATTAGCCGTGGACGGTCGGGGCGTTACAAGTGGTATCAGAGCCGAACCCCGACGAGTGTGGAGTTAGTGAGGGCTCACACTAACAGGGGTAACGATCTTGGGGCGCAACGAGGACGTTGCGTTCTTTGAGAGGGGGTGAATTGTAACATCCCGGTTTAATGGTATATGGAAAGGCTTAAGAGGATTGATTTGTCTACCTATGTCACCAAAGTGCACTTACCTTTTCAGGAGCACATCCAAAGAGAACTCCAGAGTTAAGCGTGCTTGAGCTGGAGTAGTCAAAGGATGGGTGACCTATCGGGAAGTGATTTGCGATACCGTGTAAGTGAGGCCAAAGCACGGGGAAAGGTCGGGTGGTGATTGCAGGGTCAGTAAACATGACTCTAGAGCCTTGGAAAATTAACGGACCGACCGTTGGAACGGGATGGGGCCCATGGGCCGAGAGAGCGGGCGTGGGTGGCCCATTAGCTGTGGGCGGTCGGGGCGTTATAGTTTCTTTCTAAATATTGGGTTTTTTTAGAAGAATTTCTAAATATTGGTTTCATCATCGTTTTGCTTTCTCTTTACATCGTTTTTTCTCCAAAAGAATTTAAGAGTCCTTCGAGTTCATGGAACTTTCCTTGCCTAAGCAAGCCTGCACAAAGATTCAAATGCTTCTGCTCTTTCCTCGCTTCTCGGGCTCTTCTTTTGATATTTTTGCGTAGTAGCGTTAATGTGCTATTCAATGTCATCTCTTTGGTGGTTGCGGGTCTCTCTTTGTCTTTTGAACTATAACTTGTATTCTTCTTGTTTATCTTCTCTCGTTCCTCTGATCTGTTCTGTTCTGATTTGGACACAACTGGTTGGAAAACCGGAGACAAATTTTGCCATTGTGAAAGATATGACTGTAAGTGAGAATGTCTGAAGAATTCTGCAGCCTATACAAAGAAAATATTACAGTTACAATTCTTGCGAATATACTTTTAATCAGTCTTTTTCTGCAAAAAAAAAAAACATATTAAAACCTCTTAACATTTAACACTAAAAAAAACTTGTAAACAATACTAAACTAAATGTACATCTATACTTAAAATGAAGAGGAATACATGACCGGGAGGGGAGAAAGGGAAGAGCGGTTAATCTTGTTGATGAGTCCAGACATGTTGAGATATTCATTTATTTTCCCTTCGATGATATACACATTTTGAATTTTTCTTTCGTCAAGGTTTGTTCATTACATTACAGTCAATGTAAAACCTATTGTTGGTATATCTCAATACTGAAAATGAATTGGATGTAATTTACATATGTAAAAACATCTCCGGTCTTTGACAAAAAAAAAAGCATCTTCCGTCGAACAAAACTTAGATTCACCTCTTATTTAATAACCAATCATAATGCTACATAGATTGGTTATTAGAGATGCACTGAATTTAAAGATTCATCCTAGAAGGTAAACCTAAGTTTTGTTCTCTTCCGTCTACTATATTGACAATTATGTTTATGATGAAAATTTATGATTAATAAAATTAACAAACAAGTCCTTAGTCGATCAACTAAGACATGCGTAAATTCTGTTTGAATTAGTCGAGAAAGTCAATCAACTATAATTCCACAAATTCAAAAGAGTTAATACATACAACAAAACAAATCGATAATGCTTGGATCAAACTTCAACTCGCTCTACAAAAAGAGCAAAACAAAACAAAACAAAACAAAAATAAAATAAACTGGTCAGGAATAGACATCAAAGACATTACATGTTTTTATGCACTTGACTCTTAAGGCTTCACAACCACCACCACCATGGGCGGGCAGGTGGTGGTGGCGGCGATTTCCTATAATAGAAGGCTTTGTAAGCTTGAGGAGGAGGATAGATCGGAGTAGGAGGAAGAGAAAGATCAGCAGGAGGAGGAGAATAGACCGGACTAGGAGGAGGAGGAAGATCAGCCGGAGGAGAATAATCCGAACTTGGAGGAGGTGGAAGATCAGCCGGTGGAGAATATACCGGAGATGGACGAGGAGAATGTATCGGTTGGTAGTTACTGGGAGTTTGCAAGAGCTTACGGGTATTGGCTTCACCAAGTGAGATTAGGGTTGCCAATAGAAAAAATAAGGTGAATGAACGACCTCGCGAAACCATTTTTAATGTTAGTGTTCTTTATACTCAATGTTATAATGTTAAGATCTTAAATTTTCTTAACTACGTTTATATATATATATGTATGATCCATTAGAATTTCTTTCTTTACTTTAGAGGGTTCCCACTAACTTTTTAAGATGTTGGTTTGGATTGTACTTCTTATAAAGTATACTATATATGTTGGGCCGGCTTTGCCATTTTCGTTTGCATTTATAAATTCCTCCTCTTTGCTTATTTGAGGCGTCCCTCTAAATAGTAACCTTTCCAAGTGGGGAGGTATTAGGCCATCAGCATTGGAGGTTCAAGAGGGGATCGTCGCACGTTTTACGAAAAAAAAAAATATTATAATAATGAAAAGTTAAGACTTCGGCTCGTCCCGCCTCTCCTGCATGAACCTGGGTCTTGACTGTTCAGCGGGCCCCACGCCACGTGACGGTCCGCTATTGGTCAATTCACTAATTTTTTTTTTTTTTTATAAAGCAAACGAAAAAAAAAAGAAAAAAAAAAAGAAAATCCACGTGGTGAACTTTAGCCCAAGTTTACTAATGCTGATGCTCTTAGAATATCAAGAAAAAGGTTGTTATTTTGGATTCAGTACAAATTGTGCGATAATGACTTCAACTTATATGATATATAATTCTTGATCTGGTTAATCCTCTTTTTTCAAACATCAACAAACTACATTACTAATTATTGACTTTTTGTTGGCTCGCTTTTGGTTGGATAATATAATAAGAACTAGAGGAAATACAGATCTTATAAATAAATGAACTACAAATTCGGAAATTAGTCAAAAGGGTTAGCCTTAAACAAAACTTGGGTACTCACAAACTTAACTGAGTACCCATAAAACCCTAACCCTCAAGAACCATTTAACCACCGTTTGAGAATCAACACCTTCGCCGTAAAATTTAAATGAACCAGTTCCGTTACCTAAATTCTTCTACCAAAAGTCCCTTCTAATATAACTTCCAAGACTAGAAAAAAAAAAACAGAATAACGATAAAAATAGTTATTAATTCAGACCTATTTCCTTGTGCCACAAGAAACAGATCCATTTTCACTCATTCCACATAGTGAAAACACCACCAGGATTCGACCCCTGAACAGGCTCACCAGTCCAGCCACCGTACCCTCCTGTTCCATCACTCGGAGGCATATCGTAGTCTGTTTTAACAGTTGGAAACTCCTCGGTCGATCCAACGGTGGAGCTCGACCCAATACCAATACCGTGGTTCCCAAGAAACGCTGCAGTGTTGTAGCTCCCACTAGAGCCTCCATTGTTATTGTTGTTGTCAACGATTGAGGTGGAGACAAGACCGTGAAGCAAAGCCGGGTTGCTTTGAAGATACGCGTTATAGAGCTGCTGCGAATTCTGACTCGATTGTTGCTGCAAGTAATTGTTGGTTTGTTGGTGAAGATGAAGCTGCGTCTGGATATAGCTATGGTGATTAAAAGAGGAAGCATCATGAGCATTGGTATTGTAGTGAGAAATGTCATTGTTCTGTAGAGATAGAAAAGGCTCCAACGGTTGTTGAATGCTTAGAGGGTAAGGTTGAAGCTGAAGCCTTGATGAGCTGGAGCCTGACCCTGAGCTCGAGCCACCACCATATTGGAAATTTGAACCAAGGGCTATCATTTCCGCCTCGCGTTTCCTTGATGACTCAAGAGCCTGAGCTTCTTTGAGGCGCTTAGCCGCGCCTCCTCCTATGGGAAGAGTACTGCTCTCTAGGATGGCTTTCACGTCGTACCGATTGATCTCGAAGTTGGTCACTGCGTTGAGTCCTCTGAACTTTATCGCGGCTATATCATAAGCTTCTGCCGCTTCTTCCTCAGTGCCTGAATAGACCAAACCATGTCGTTAGCCACGTAAAATTATGGTTGAAGAACCTTCTATTGAACATGCTGATTCTAAAGTTGTTAGAGCATCATTCATGCAGGTTTCTTAGGGCGAGTTTCTTAGGGATAGTTTCGTAGGGAAATATAAGAAACAGTTTCTTAACTTTTCAGTTAAAAGTTAAAAAATAGTTTCTTATATTTGCCTAAGAAACCCGCCTAAGAAATCTGCATTAATGATGCTCTTATTTCTCTATAAAGAAGAGGTTTGTTGAAATTCACTTTTATTTTGTAGTTTCCAAGATTTATTTGCGTACCAAACGAAGGCAAGATCTAATAACAAAGTACTTACTAAAAGTTCCCAAGTAGAGATCTTTGTTTCCAGCCACTCGGCCGATCCTTGCTTGCCATCTTCCATGTTGGTGATGCCTATATATATATGTGACAAAGTAAACAGGTTTAGTATATGTTATGTTATGAATTGACGTCAAAAAGGACGAATATATGTGACTATTTGTAAAATAAACCTTGTAACTCCTCGATACATCGAAGCACCTCGTGAGAATCCACTACTTTTCCTGTGATTTAACATGCATATGTAAATGTGTTTTCGAATAGAGAAATTTATATTTGTATATATATATAGTTAACCAAGGTCTCAATGAAAAATACAAAAAAACACCTTCTAATAGCAGCCACGAACTCTTGTCTCGTCATGTGCTTCATTTCCTCGACTTCTTTCTCGTAGTTGGTAATCTGATATAATGAATCAAAGATTAAAAATATACATAACTTGTGAGTTCGAAATTATCACAAACAAATATAAACTGGCATACCGGGAAATTAGTAGTAGTTGAGGGACCCCAGTACTTAAGTGCAGCTAGATCATATGATCTTGCTGCTTTATCTTCTTTGTCATACCCACCTATACCAAGAAGTTAATTTAATTTAATTTAGTTTCCTTAACCTAAAGTATATATATGATTAGTTCACGAGGATGAGATAGAAGAATCAAGTTCGTTGCACTCACCCAAGTAAACTAGATTGGTTGTTGAATCCCCAACATTTTACGTAGAAAGAACAAAGAATGAAGAAAATATATACAGATAGTTAGTATATATGAGCCAAATCAAAACTAAAATACAGAACCCAATTAAATGAAATTAAATTACTTACCTTGTCTTCCTTTCCTAGACTGGCCTTCCCGTCTACAACTATTATCCCACAGGTGAGCTTCATATCGACCGGTCCATCGATGCCTGAATATAATGAAATAAAACCAATATACGTATACATTTCATCATGAATTAAGATCTCAAAATCTTTAAAGAATCAACTAATGTGAATAGTGAGTCACATATATAACCTTGTGACACCACGATAGATCGAGGTTCGTTGTCCGAAAGTGTCCAAAGCACGTCTAGGCGTGGCCGTCTCAACAACGGCTAATGCTCCGGCGCTAGTGTTATCGCCGGTGGCCTCGGACGGCAAATCTTTGGCTGCGGCATTATTACCACCGGCCGTCCCCATGGACAACGTCAGTGACTGTAGATTGTGAGCACTCTCTTGAAGCTCATAGCTATTGTTAGGAGTGTTGGAGTCACAAGCTACGACGACGTCGTTTGATTGGACGCTAGGCATCAAGCTGTTGGTATGGAAGTAGTAGTCTGAGTCGTTGTAAGCTACGAGGTGGTCGGATTGGTTTTCGTCTGGTTTGCTCACACCGAGAAAATCAGCCACTTTGGGAACCTCTCCTCCTTCTCCTCCGCTGTGTGGATTGATCATATTCCACTCTACCAACATATAATTTGTTTTACAGTACATAAATATACAAAAAGAGAATATGAATATGTATATATGTAGATGTTACCTTGTGTTTGGAAAGGGTTGTCCATATGGTCGCTGACCAAGCCAAGATTGTATTCATGAGGAGGCAAAGAAGAATGGTTTGGTGAAAGTGGAAAGCCAAGCCAGTTGTTTGAATTCATTTTCCGTTTTTGAGTTTGGGTTAATCAATCACTTTATTGCAGCTACCCACTTTGGTCTAATCAATATACCAAGCTCTAAGCCAATCAAAGAAGAAAGGAAGACTCAACAATCAAGGATTGGGGAAAGAGAAATTAATGATCAAGACTACTTTCCAAAGATTGGAGATTATGTATATATATAGGTCGAGATCTTCTTCTGCTTTATATATTGGCAAAGTCTCTCTCTCTCTCTCTCTCTCTCTCTCTCTAAAAGCAGGAAACTCTGATACTTTTAGGGTTTTAACAAAAAGAAGATATTTGTGAGAGATGAATACAGAGGAAGGCCATAGAAGGTTTAGAGAGACCCGTTTAATTTAATGGATTTTGCCTCATTAGAATATTACTTTAAGAGTTGATATATAATTGACCAAAAAAAAAAAAGAGTTGATATATAATATGTATGGCTGTGAGAAAAAATAATAATATTGTATGCCTTTCATGTGATCATTTGTTGTATAATTCTTATTTGAATTGGCCATCAAGACCCGTTAAGGATTAGGACAGCATTTTACAATTCACACACTGTATTTGTACCTGAGTTCTATATATGTCATTCCGACACTTTTTACAAGAATTAATAACCTAACTAGATATACTAAAAAGTAAACATTTTAGTAGTATACTAGTATGTATGGTTAGATCATAAATTTGGCAATTGTTAGAATAAATGTCTGTGACAAAAAAAATACATTGTAATTTGAAGCCCACATATATTTTGAAACAGTTAAATTCTTTATAAAAACCTTGAAAGTTGAAACAGTTCTACAATAACTTTTTCCAAACGAATGGAGTGATATGTAGTCATGGATATTTTTATACATATAATTTCATACACAAGGATTTTCTATATATTTGAAATACTCTACATATGCATACATATTTTTTTTTATCAAAAATATGCACAAATAGTTTCATACATGTATATATTTAATATCAACATATACATTTTGTCTTATGGAAATTTGGTTTAAACAAAAATTGTATACGTGGCTTAATATTATAACATCTCTCTCTGTCTTAATATACATCAAAATTATAATGAGCGAACTCAGTTTCATGTAGTATGACAAAACCCAAGATTCGAACCGGAAAATTCCAACCCTAAGAGGCAAACTAAATTTCATTTTACAAAGGAAA